GCGCGTGGGGATCGCGCGCCGCCGGCCAGTCCCCCCCAGCCACTGCTGAGAACACCCCAGTGGCACCACAGCCAGGCAATGCCACAGTGGCTGAAGATGTGCCCCCCCATGCCAGCATCGGGACTGGCTCATGGACGTACTGTCCATGCACATCCCATGTCTCCTCAGCACCCCTGGGGGCTAGAGAGAAGCCCCCAGCACCATGGAAACCCCATATTTTGGGAAAAATGGGACATGCCTAGCCTCAGTTGGAGGCCTTGGTACAGTGATAGTCCTTGGGTGCCGCCACCTCTCCCAGCTGCCCATCGTTCCTCCACAGTCACCATTGGAGACCAGGTGTGAAAACCTGCTGAAATGACACAGCGGGGCCCCAGAGCTCTGTGAGCGGGGCAGGATGCTGGGCGGGTGCGGGACGCTGCTGGTACCCCATGGCCAGTGGACACGGGGTGCCTGTATCCTGCCCCAGGCCACATTGGCAGTGCCAGACCAGAACCACACTTGCCCATGCAACACCCCAAGCTCCTGTCCACGCTCTTCAGCGGACCATGACCTGAAACCTTGGGGGAGAAGCTGTGCGGCATCCCCCTTAGCATGGCTGTGTCACACACCGGGGTGGCATGTGCCACAGCCTCAGCAGGGCTCAAGGCCCCATTTCTTATGTACTGCAGGAACACATGCAAGAAGCAGTTCCTTCCTAGAGAAGCTCACACTAAGCAGGCTGGGAGGGGAAACTGAGGCATAAAGCTGGGAGGTGGTTGCACAGCTGTAGTTGTTTATAGCAATATAGCATTTTCCAGTGACAGCTCTGCTGTGTACACAGGGACTGTAATATGAAGCCAGCTTTAGGACCAGGCCTTGCTGGAGGAGGTGGTCTCCAGTGGTAGATACTCAAAGCAAGCCCAAGCAAGGAGGGCACCGAGATCTCCAGACATGCTGCATAGGGTGCTCTGCGCCCTCTCGGCTCAGCAGCCTCAGTGCAGGAGGTGTTCCTGGGGCGGGAGGTGGGTTTAGAAACATGGGGAGCTTTCTCAGGTGGAAAGGAGATGCTCCAGGAGGTCTCATGGAGACCTGCTCCAACCCTCTCCCTTGGCAGCAGAGCCAAACCCAGCCTGAGCCAAGCAGCAGCTTCTTTTTCAACTTGAGTGGGGGAACCAACAAGAGAAGGAAACCCAAAGACCTGAACACCTACACAACCCAAGATCATCAGGTACCACCTCAGTACCAACACCTCTGATCCTTGTGTGTCCCAGCCCCTCTCACCACTGCCAGGCAGAGAGTCACCGCATTGCAGCACCATCCTCCTACCCTGCTGCTCCCATTCCTCAGGAGAACACCCACAGTAATACATGGCTTCACGCTCTTTCAGTATGACCTGGCCAGGGCCAAAAGTGAAAGCTGTGATATGAAGCCGGGCACCTTCCTCCTCCAAGAGGCCTGGCCGAGATCTCTGCCCAGCTCCGACTGCCCAGAGCCCTTGGAAACCCAGGAGCCAAGCCAACGGCCAAGGGGTTCCAGCAGCTGATGCCTCCCCTTGGCTTTTCTCATCTAATGTGACCCTGAACATCACACAAAACTTCAATTGCACCAAGAAAAGCGTGAATATTCCATAAAAGCCATAGTTCAGAGGATGGAGATTCACTAGCGAAGCCCCAGCCATGCCTACACAGTGGGATGCCACCATGCAGTGGGATGCGGCTGCCTGGTGTCACCGAGCCCAGGGAACAGAAATATTCCTAAACCAACTCACTGGTAAGATGTTCCTGGCCATAAACATGGAAGGAATAGTCTATAATGGAAATAAACATGCATGCAGCAACCTAACAGCCCAGGGAGGCTTTCCCTCACCTGCTCAGTAGAGCAGGGGACTGACGAGAGACAGGCCATCGGGCTGCTTGACCGGGCAGCCAGCGTGATTCTGCTCAACTGCAGATTGCTGATGTTTTCAGGACACTAACATGGTTATGGCAATCATGATGATGGTTCTCCTCTGGCATGAAAATCCTGGAGCGCTATTGATATTTATCACTGCTGTTGCATCTCATCCCCTATGCAGCAGCTGATCTGCAGAAGAGGCTGACCCAAGGGCAGACAAGGAGCAAGCAACTGAGTAGGGACAACGCTTGGGAGCTCTGGCTGCAGATTTCTCCTCCCCTGGACAAAGCCAAGTCAGACAGATCCTGGCAAACAGCTGGCTCTGAGCACTAATGACAGGCAAGGGTGGAAAGCAACTCCCACCTGCAAGCCCCATAGCTCAGCCCCAGGATCTGCAAGTGGGTCTCCACCAGGCAGGCTGGCAGAGCCCACCGAGAGCAGATCCTCCTCCAGACCTGCAGTACTGCTTCTGGATCCAGCCCCAAGAAATAGCAATCAGCTAGAAACCATCATTCTGGACTTCAGTCCAGACCACTCACAAGAACACCCCCAAGTCTATTCAGCAACCTCTCTCCATGAGAACATCCCTAGCCACATCTGAGCTTCCCAATCCCTATGCTCCTGCCACAGTATTTCCAGTCTGCCTGAGATTACAGACCTGCCAGAAACCCATCCCAGCACCATTTCCCAGCCAGGGAGGCTGTGAGATGACGCAGCACCACCCAGCTGCCCCCAAGCCCTGCAGGACAGCACCCCATCCCCGCAGCCTCTGCTTGCTCCCTGGCTGCAAACCTGAAACCAGGTTTGCGGCTCAAGACACCCAGCTACAGCCCAGGTCTAACCCTGCTTTTACTAACACAACCCCTGCCTGCCTTCCCTTTCTCTTTCTTTTTCTCCCAACGCCATGGGCTGTGCCAGAGCCTCAGCTGGTTTAAATTGAACTTGATGTGGCCAGACCCAGCTGGTGTAAATCAGTGTAAATCACCAGACGCCAGGGCTGATTTACATGGGTGGGGGATTTGCCCCAGTTCATTTCCTTTGTCTCCTACGTAGAGAGCTCTCCTGCCTCCTGGGTGACTTGGAGGTCCTCCGGGGCCTCTTTGGGAGGGCAAATGAAATTTCTCACAGCGAAGTCTTGAGTTTGTGTTTGCTGGTAAGCAGTGCTACATATGTGGGGTGATGCTGCAAGATCACTGCTTGCTCAGGGAAAGTGCATGGAGGGGATAGTACAGGATATTATTTCAATGCTGCCTAATGCCTAGAAAAGACCCTGCTCTCGTCCATCAAGTGTCGTTTCAGCAGTTTAGGCTCTGAGGAAACGTTTGTTGGGCTGCCGGTCCCCTGATGGAAGCTGATAGCAGAGCCAAGCTCAAAGGCTGGGGAAGGGATGGGAGGAAGGGGCAGCAGGCTGAAACGGGAGAAGAGGATTGATCTGCAGCCTGGAGTGCTCTAAATGCTGTTTCAGTGACTCGTGCATGTGTACAGGAGATACACGTGATGTGAGACTCTTGCAGAATTTGTTCCCAAATTCTTCTGTTACAACGTCCCAAGGCATGTGCGCTTGTCCTGGCTGCACGAGAGGCTCCCTGTCCTGCAGGTCCCTCTCGCCCATCTCTGTGAGGTTGCAGAGGATCAGCCTGGGGTAACCCGCCCTTGGAAGGTGATGCCAGAGTCTGACCAAAAGGCCAGGCTGAGAGTAAAAGGAGGCTGCCTGAAGAAGTGAAGCCTCCTTTGAGATGGGGAACAACCTGGTACCCGAAGCATGGGGTGGCAAGTGTCCAGGTCCTGTCCACCCGGGCCCTACAGGCATGATGGGGTGGACACCGCTTGGCTCTGCTCTACAGGACCGGTGGATGGGGTCAGCCCCAGCTCTCTGCCCCGTCATGGTGTGGACAGACATCCTGGGTGCATGGGGGTGCAGAACAAGTGTTGGTCCTCACCCCAGTGCTGTCCTGCCCTGCTCCTCCTCCCGGGCAGACCTGCCCTCTCAGCCTGCCTGGCCCCAGGTAGGGCTTGCCTGCCCTCAGCAGACCCCGAAACCTCTCCGAGTCCCTCCTAGCCTGCATTTAGCCTGGCCATCCCCCTTCTGAAGGACTCAAACACCCCTGGCCACAGCACCACGGTGCAGGAGAAATTGAGTGGTGAGACCTGAACACCCTCCTCCCCCTGCTCCCAGTGCTTTCCTCCCTGAGTTTGCTCAGCTGCACAAATATTTCAGTGCAAATCCCCATTTCAGAGATGCAAACCCGAAGCACAGCCAGACCCTATTGCTTTTTTTTCACCACCGCATCCTAATGCGCTGTGACCCGCAGGGGGGACATCCTACGCCTCCCTGCTGGGTCCCGAGGGCTGGGAGCGACTGGC